CATAAACTTTAAGAACTCCTCGCTCTACAACACGCTGTCACCAGTTTCCTCCCTTTAATCAAGGGAAAATGTGTCACGGTCCTCACAGACAACACCACAGCGCTCTCTTATGTCAACAGACAGGGAGGCACTGTTTCCCTATGCCTCTGCAACCTTGCCACCCAATTGTGGGAGCTTTGCATCACCAACAACATTTTCCTCGTGGCCACTCACATTCCCGGACATATGAACGTGCAGGCAGACTATCTAAGTCAAGCAGGACTCAACCTTCACGAGTGGGTTATGAATACCATACTCTGGAACCAAGTCATCCCCTTAACCCTCCGGTCACTCCAACCCCGGTCGTCGTCCAAACTAAACCCATAACTTGTCAACAGGACACTTCGGTCCAAATATCACAACAAGACTCCTCTGACTTCATAGAAGAGGTCTCAGATACAGAGGCATCTGGGGCTCATACCTCTCCTGACCATACATCTCCCAACCAGAATGTCGCTGAGGACTTACCCGTATCCCCATCCGACAACCTTACATCTTACACAGATGTAGTCAAAAGAATGGCCCACTCCTTAGACCTCTCTGTCGTCCAGCAACATCCGCAGGCAACGGACTCCCGACTCCCCCGTCCTACATCACGACATACCGCAATCGAAACTGACGGCATGGCAGATAACATCACCGGCTTCTCCTCCCGCGTAGTGAACGTCCTCTTGAATTCCAGGAAGCCTACTACGTGGAGGTCTTACAATTATAAATGGCGAAGGTTCTGTTCTTCCCTAGCTGATGACGCCCCTCGAGCCACCTCAGTGGGTCTCGAAAGAGTTTTCCAATTCCTCCTCTTCTTAGCTGGCTCGGGACTTTCCCATTCATCGTTAAGAGTTTATTTGGCCGCTCTCTTGGCCTACCATGTTACAGTTGACGGATGCACTTTGTTTTCTCATCCGATTTCCAAACGATTTTTAAAAGGTTTGTTACACCTCTACCCTCCTGTCAAACCTCCAGTCGCTTCCTGGGACCTTCCTCTAGTTCTCCATCAGCTCATGAGGAAGCCCTTTGAGCCACTTGCTACATGTGAACTCAAACTCCTTGCATGGAAAACGGCCTTTTTAATTGCTATCACATCGGCAAGGCGAGTTGGAGAAATATTGGCTTTCCGACACGATACACCTTACTTATCGTTTCTGCCAGATGGAGTCCGCCTCATCCCGGATATCTCCTTCCTGCTGAAGGTGGTTTCAGAGTTCCACCTGCAGGCAGAGGTCTTCCTCCCTGACTTCTTCCCAAATCCAACATCAGCGGAGGACAAATTATTACACACTTTAGATGTGAAGCGGGCTCTCCTATTCTACATCAATAGAACACACCCAACTAGACGAGACTCACAACTATTCGTCTTGTACGCTTCAGCACGGCTGGGTACTCGCATCATGGCTCAGCGCCTGTCAAAGTGGATTGTAGGTCTGATCCATCTATGTTACCTACTCGCTAAACAGCCATTACCTGGCCCTATCAGGGCTCATTCTACCAGGGCTGTCGCGATTTCCACTGCCTTCCTCCAGGGAGTGCCCTTGCCGGACATTTGTAAAGCCACTACGTGGGCCACGCCTAACACCTTCATCAGGCACTATGCCCTCGACGTCCGTACAAACGCCAGTACCAGCATGGGACGTCACATTCTATCTTCGGCTACGCAATAAAGAACCTGCCAGCACCCTCCTCCAGGTTGGCTACTGCTCGTTAATCTCCCATGGGTGTGAAGCACAGAGACCACGTCGAAGATAAACAGGTTGCTTACCAGTAACTGGTGATCTTCGAGTGGTCATCTGTGCATTCACACCACCCGCCCTCCTTCCCCGCTGCTGTCTGCTTCTACATCTTTAATAGGGGTTGATTTCCGGCGGTTTGTAGGAACTGGCGGGATGTCCATGCCCACCCCTCTGGGCATGCGCGGTGAGGTTCCTGCGCATGCCTGAGGTACTGGGCGCGAAAATCTGTTAAAAGAGCTTGCTACAGCACCGATCGATCCAGCGCGTGCGCACTAGATCCCATGGGTGTGAATGCACAGATGACCACTCGAAGATCACTAGTTACTGGTAAGCAACCTGTTTTTTCATTGCACTTTAACTGATGCCAGTTCTTACTTCGTCAGATGGATATAGTGGGTCCTCATTAGGCAGACAGTAATATATGAAGAGAAAATGGTTTGAACAGCTGAATTGACATTGCTGTTGCCTCTTTTCTAACCTCATATAGCAATATGGTGGCAGCCCATAATTGGCAAATGTTGCTGTCCCAGTGCCTTTCTAAAAGTTGCATGCTGCACCTTTCAGTGTGCTGCTCTGAGGATCCTGTTCATCCTTTTTATTTTTTAATAAAGTATTTTAAACCCAAGTTACTATTTAAAATCGATCGATAGTCAATGACGGCACATAACACAGAACAAAATTCCCTTTACTTAATATTAGTAAAATGCTGATTAATTTCACAGTTTTCAGCAAATTACGATCTGTTTATTTCTTCCATATGGTTTACATGCACAATTTACAATAGCTATCTCAAAAATATTGCTACAGTGATCCATAATGTTTTCCTTAGTACATGGAAAGTTTGAATGTAGACGTTGTTGTAACAGCTGCTTGGCATATAGAAATGTAGCTGGTGAAGTTCTTTGTGCCATTCTTTCTCTGTACTTGGAAAAGTTTTTGTTAACAAAGCATTAAAGGCACATGTACCTTACAAGGAAGAAAGCACTGCTGTTGTATATGCAAAGTGCTTCCAGGTGAAAGGTTCAGATAAGGTCGATGTCTATCTCTGGAGTCACAGATTAGGTGTGTGCACCTTCTCGACAGACAAAGCCATACACATGTAGCATGATTTAGTAGTCTGCTGTCAGTCTGAATTCAGAGTATGGTAGATACAGCCTTGTCCTATTATGTTGCTCAAGCAACCTAAATCCTTTAGTTTAGTTTAACTGGCCCCATTTGAATAGGAAGCAGAAAAGACACAAAATATGGTGCAATGTGATATTTGAAGCAAGACTTCTTGATCACTCTGCTCTGCTGCTACGCATGGGTTCCAGTGGATACTTTTCAGTGTTTAGGTAGGATGCCAATAACCGCTTGCAAATTGTGTACCCATCCTAATTTGTGACTGTGAGCTAGTACTGGAGTTGCTAGGCCTCCATTTTTGCTGGAGTGAGGTATTCCTGATAGCCTTCGTTCTTCATTTTCTGAGCTCCGGTAGTGATCTCTTGGGACTGTGTGGTTTGTCTGTTTCTTATTTATTTAAATATTCCTACCCCACTTTAACATGCATGAACACAGGAAACTTCATTATACTGAGTCAGAGCAGGGTCAGTATTGTCTATTCTGTCTGGCATCACCTGTCCAGGAACTCAGTAGAAGTCTCTCTCATCCCCTGCTGCCTGACATTTTTACTGGAATTTTCTGCCTGTAAAACACCTGCTCTACCACTGAGCTACACCTTCTCCCCACTTTCTCATAAAGCTCAAGGGTACTTACAAACACCGTGGAACAGATTACGTAAAGCTACAATAATGTTACACAAATATCATAACAAAAACATTTCACTGTAAAAAAACCAAACATAATGGTAAGCAACAGACATCCAGCAGAGAGAACCGAAAACTACTTTCCAGCAGCCAAAGTCAGCAAAAAAGATTTGTGAAAGAGCACTGACTTACAGGTCTATCTGAAAGCCACTGAAGAAGGTTCTTGGCAGGCACTTCTGTTAGCAGGCTGTTCAATGGGAGTAGTAGCAACTATGGGAAAAGCTCATGTGTGAGCTGCAGAGGTCTGCGCCATCTGGTACGAAGGAACAACTAGCAGGGATTACCACAAAGAGCACAGGCTGATATCACTTTCACAGGTTTCAGTGAATCTGTGTGATACAAGTCCTGGATGTGTGTGAGTCTAGTTTACAAACTGCGCATTATTCTGAGCTGTTGCTTATGTCCTCTGTCAATGACCTGTACTTGGATTTAGGCCTGGAGATACTGATGACGTAACTGCAGGATCTGGCAGATCCTCCAGAAGTGCTGTCCCTTTCTGGCAGGCAGTTCCTTGAGCATAATAACCATTGGCAGCTACTTGCCTAATGTCAAGAATCGTGCCTGTGTATTTTCATAACATTAGTTTTTTATCTTCCCGTCTCCTTTTCCTAGCATCTTCATACGAGTTGATTGACAGAGGATGAATCCAGACTCCTGAGGTAAGGATGGCTGGTAGGTCCAGTAGCTGATGGCATTCAGCCCCCAACATATGTCAGTTCATAGCTCGGGATGCTTCTAGATCCACTGATGCACATGAACTTTCAAGAACCATAATGAGGAGTCACTCTGTGGTTCCTGTTGTGGATTCAAACAGAGCAATGACTGTTCATTCCTTTGTAATCTCAGTTAATCTGTGGTTCTGTCTGTCGGATTGTTCATGAAGACTGTTTGGAGGTTGCATTCACACATTTCTTTTCCAGGTACTGCCTAAGAATGGCTCCACTGGCAAGATGTATGTGGCTCAGCAGGATCCAGATTCAAGACTCTAGATAGTAGTTTCTAGAATAAAGAGAACGTGAAAAGTTTAGAACTTATCGGAGGCAAGTAGTTACTTGAGTTTTCCTCAGATCATGAGTCAGGCCTCCCTAGGTATGTACAGATGTTGGCTGGCAAGGCCCAGCTTCTTTATTATGCTTTCTAGTAATCGTATTGATTAGACCAGTACGCAGAGGGCTAACATGTCATTATAGTACATTTGACACACTTCATCCACGTGTTTCATTGCCAGTGATGCAACATCTACGGTATGCTGAGCTCAGATGTATTTTAGGTAAGAACAGAATATTCACAGCAGCAGTCATGATCTAATCTATGTTAACCTTCCATTTACAGAGGGAGAGAAATCTAGCCCTAAAAAGTCTGGATAGAATCAGATTGTTTTATCAGTTCTACTTCAGAGTTGAGTCACCTTCTGAAGACTTTAAAAATATTATGATGTGCTGAAGTTAGTTGATAATGTTCTCCCACTGGTTTCTGGATGTTGTCTTTTTCTGTGGTCCTAGTTCATAAAAGCTGCTGCTACAATAAATCCATTGATCTAAGGTGCCGCAAGACTCTTTATTACTGCAGTAGGTTGACACATCTACACTTTTGAAACTTGTCATTTCTGAGTAAATATGCTGAAAACTGTGGTATATACATACAAGAAAGTAACCCTTCTTGTCTCCATGAGCTTTAATTCAGTAGCACAGGAGTTCCTGTTGGTATGGAACTGTATGTGAGGGGAATAGGTAAGTGAGAAGTTCTGATGTCCCCACTGGATGAAATGGGAACTGACATGTACCATGTGGTGGGTTTGGGGTTAAAGAAAGTTTCGGTTTCAAGCTAATTTAGAATAATCTGCACCTAGTGCTGAATGTTGTGATTATGTCATGGGATAGTAAAGAGCAGAATTTGAGAATGTAAATGTTTAAAATACTTAAATTACTATTTCTAATAATGGACTACCTAGCACTACAAAGGGGAGAGAAAGCCAGGTGTCTCATGAACATAAAGGCAAGACTTGTGCAAAAAGACACTTTTCAGAGAGGAAAAAGTTGCCTTAGAGGCAACTAGGTGCTGGACATCGTTACCATTCTTTTATTAGTGCTGATAGACCAACAGGTCATAAGCAAAATTGAGAAAAAGAGAAAAAATACAGTAATATACAGGCAAAGAAGGGGAAGCACAAAGGTACAGAATTATGAATAAAAGATTTACATTAAAAAGTAATACCATTAAATGCCATAGACCAAAACTTAACAACTGTGAAAGTTACATTTGGGTCAGTGTCAGCTAATAGCTTAGCTACAACCTGCTTTACAGTGGGGCTCCATTTTTTATGTAAAGTTTTATTCACTTGTCAGGTGCTGGACAGCAGTAGTCTACTTTGCTTTTCATTTTAATCCTACATTTGCTGAGTGAAGTGGTAGGACTTTTCTGCCATTGTTGCAGCCAACTCATGGCAACTCCATAGGGTTTTTGAGGCAAGAGATGTTCTGAAGCAGTTTGCCATTGCCTGCCTCTGCATAGCAACCCTGGTGTTCCTTGGTGGTCTCTCATACAAATACTAACCAAGGCTGACCCTGCGTAGTTTCTGAGATCTGGCAAGCTTAGGCTAGCCTGTACTATCCAGGTCAGGGCAAATGGTAGGACACGGGTCAATAATTTGAAGGTGTAGGTCTCTGGGCAATCCGGCATGCAAACTGCACATGTGCAGGCCAGCTGCTGAAGATTCCAGAAGTTCTCACAGCACGAGGTGTTTCCCAACTCTACTCTAACATCTTTCTCTGCCTAGGTATTGCATGAGGAGGAAGGAGTAACACTATTTTCTTTCGTTGCATTCTGTTGTGTGACCCTTTGGTAGGGTACTTTCCTCAAAAAGCCCTTTTTAAGAATGGTATGGATTGTGAATGCAAAGCACCACAGTCTGTCACTCCCTCTGCTTCATTTATCTGGGCATGATGTCTAGTAATGCGGAGTGTACATGCATTTCACATCTAAAGCATGTCAGGGCAATGAAACTTAAAGCCGCATTATGGGGATAAGCTCCAGAAGCAGCACTCTCAACTGATGACCAGGGAAAAAAATTACCTCAGCGAGTCAGGTGCATTCAGTCTGTTCTATGGCAGTTCTGACCTCAGAGCCAAAGAAGACAGCACAGGTGGAAACTTCTGGTTGTGTGACCAGAACAAGAAGTTTCATATCTGTTGGTCCAGACCTCCAGCTAAAAACAAAACGGGGGGAAAAACACATACCTGGAGTGGATGTGATCACAGTGTGACAAAGATACTTTGACCGGGGGATAGGATTCTGACGCTAGTGGGGATTGTTATTCAGTCTGTAGCTCCCCATGTTGTGCCAGATATACGCAAGGTTAGGATTGTGAGTCTCTGCTGAGTAGTAAGGGTGGATCCTGCTGTAGCTACCAACCCATCCTGGCCAAACATTCTGACAGGAATTGGAACAGAGTAAGCTTGCATCCAGATCTATTAGAGGCTGATAACCTTCAGAAAAGAGCGAGATTTTACTAATGCAAGAGTCAGCCCCACTTGTGAGATAACATTAGCTCTGAACCAGAAAGCAATGAGATGCTGTTACCCAAGTCAGAGGTACCATTGCATTTAGGTGACACTTCAGTAGGCGATCTTAGCCTAGTATCCCCTAGTGAAAACTTAAAACTGTACAGTGAACAATTACCTAGGATAAAAAAATCCCGGGAATAGAATAAGCACTGATGGAATCTGATCCATTCTTTAGAGCTCCAAACACTGAATCTTCAGGATCAATAGCCTTCTCAGTTATGCAAGGACTTGGGGGGGGGGCATGGCTGAAACCCGCTTCAGTTCGGTTCCCTGACTGTAAAACTGAGGCTATGTATAAAACTAGGCAAAATGACGCCTTTTAAAAAAATTATCCATCCATCAACTAATTCCGTAGTTAAAGAAGCCCTACAGGAGAAGGAATACAGCACACTTGGCCTCAGTTGATGAAGAGGAAAGAAAATTGAATTTCATGAGAAAAGAAAGTACTTTTCATCAGCACTGACCTTTTAAGATAACTAATTGTCAAGCTATATAGTTAGCTATCAGTTTCTTTGAGAATGATTATTCCAGATTAGAAGAAAATTGTGTAAAAGAATTAGAAATGATGAAATTATCTGAACAATGAATAAATACAGCTATGCTGGTGTCAGATTATACAGCTAGGCATCTGGTTGCAGCTATTGCCTTAGGAAGGTATGCATGCCTCATGTCTACCAAAGTTATTGAATGACATCAAAAACTAAAGCAGACAATCTCCCATTTGAGGTCTCTGAACAGTTTACTTCTGAAATAGATGAGGCATTAGAAGACTTAAGGTAGGGGAAACAGGTGTCACTGAAGGAGTCTTAAGTGTTATTTTGCCTCAGTTATGAGCTCAGGTCAAAACCATACATCAAACCTTACATTTGTGTCATGCACAAAATAGGCGTCAAGATTATAACCATGCTTTTCACATCAGAGTAGTAAATAGCTCCAAAGGTCCAATACAGATCTTGGTCACCTAAGAATACTCAGGGATGCTTAAAACAAGAGTTTTGAGTACATATGATGTCCCAACTCCTTTTCTATGACAGATTAAGAAGTATCAAAAAAGGGTGGGAAGCCATGAAACAAGATCAGTAGGTTCTCTCCATAATTATAAGATGTTACCCTAGAGTTTGAGAAAGATTGGGGTGGGGGTGAAACCTTAATCCATGTTAAGTATCCATTTCCACTGTATTTATATTTTTATTGGTTTTTGTAAATAGTGTTAACATTGATACAACAAATGGTTACATAACTGCTTAAAAGTGAATAAAACGCAATGTGTAAGCTATATCATTACAGCTCTTGTACGTACAATACGTGTTTTCATTTTTCGGGGATGTTTTCAATCTGTCCAATGTAACATAAGCATTTCCCCCCTTTTATATCTATATTAAACTAGAACAAAAATAAACAAACAAATAAAGCAAAAAGGAACAGAAAGGAAAAGAATTCCTAATCAGTAGTACAAACATTTTGTCTTTAAATCCATTTGTGGTATTTGGTCCATTCGGAAGAGATAAATCGGTGTAGAGATAAGTAGTCAAGCACCGGGTACCATTTGTCTGTGAAGATTGTTAGAGTCGGCTTCTGCGACAGGAAATTTAGTTTATTTGTGACTGCATCCATTAAGTAATGGTTCCATAATTTCTTAAACCACACCTCTATACTGGGTGCTTTATTATCCATCCAGTACGATGCAATCGCAGTTTTTGTTGCATCCAATATGACTTCCACTGTAACTTTATGTGGTCTAGATGACAGATCTTTTGGCCAGGTATTTAAAAATAAAACCTCTGGTGTCAACGGAATTTGTATTGAGGTGATCTTTTGGATTACATTCAACACCTCTGACCATTTTTTAAAAATTTTAGTGCACTGCCACCAGCAATGTGCAAAGTCTCCAATATGCTGGCATTCCTTCCAACACACTGGAGACTGATTTGGAGAAATGTAAGAAAGCTTGCGTGGCGTAGCATACCACCGAGTCATTATTTTCAAGTTTTGAAATCTAACAGACATCACCTTGGTCTTGAAGCTGGTCGAGTTCCATATTTTCTCCCATATTTCATCTGTGAGTGTTACTGTAATATCTTTTTGCCAGGCCTTTTGATATGGTAGGGATTTGGAACATGAGCTTTTAATCAGTATGGAATACAATTTTGAAATAAGACCCTTGTTTTGTGAATCATAGTCTCGTATTAGTAATTCTAAGTCAGTTTGAGGTTGAGCCATTACGTTCTTTATATCAATTTGATTAAGTAAATGACTCAGCTTCAGGTAGAAAAACCATGGTATGGAAGAACCCAGTTTCCGTTCAAGCTCCATTTTATTACGAATACCTGTCTTGGTGGCTATATCTATAAAACGAGATAAATTTTAAAGTTTCCATCTATTAATCGGATTTGGTTCCGTTCCAGGTAAAAATCATCTCTGGTTCAGAAAGCTAGAATATCTCGATATCTTGGGTAATAAAGACCTGGCGTGACGTTTCCAACATTGTATTGCCAGGTATAATAGGTCTATTGAGCTTACTTTGTTGACAGAGATTGTTTCAGAAGCCCATAACCTACTATTCAAAGAATCAGGATAAATCAAGTCATCATATATATTTACCCATATAGGTCTCTTGGAGGTGCACAGCATCTTAATGCAAGTGGATAACATTATTGCCCTATTGTACATCAAGAGGTCCGGCTAAGCGAACCCTCCTAATGTTCTAGGCCTCCTCAAAACCGAGAAACTTATTCTGGGTTTCTTTTTGTCCCAAAGAAAGTCTTTCAATGAGGATTGCCATATTTTTATGATTGAAGTTGGAATATTGAGAGGTAGCGTTCTAAACAAAAAAATAAATTTGGGTAAAATAAAAGATTTTATTAAATTGAACTTCTCAATCCATAGTTGTGGATAGTTCAGAATGCATTTCTTGATGATTGATTGCTAACAATTTGGATTGATCTAGATA